TTGCGTCAACACTTCATCCTAGTATTGAAAGAATATGGGTGTGGTTTTTGGATTTCTTTTCTTAGAAGATTTCCAAATAAATTTCTAATCCTTTTTCGTGTGACTTTTAGCAAACTGTATTTGTAGTGAATGGATAAGAAACACGACCACTTCAAAGCAAGCCCGTTATGTATGTCAATCACTTATCAGATATAAGATATTGTCACTTTCCCTTCACATACTATGTAGTAGTATGGAGTTAGAAAAATCATTAAAATGTTTGTCGAACTGTGTAGTAGTACGGAGTTAGAAAAACGATTAAAATGTTTACCAAACCATATCAATTTTTTCAAAAAATTACTAATCGTTGTGTTCTATGCTTGGAACCATACATTGCTTGACATGCATAAAAAGATGGTTTGATAAGTGGTTTAGTATCACACAAGAATCGAAACATCTCATAAACGTGTAATGCTTATCATAGAGATTGTCATTGATTTTTCTTACGGAAGCTCTGAATCTTTGTTTGATTTCATGACCTGATAGAAGCTATGGAATTGAACACTAAAATTTATATTTTTATATCTGTTTCTAATGAAAATGGAAGTAATTAGTAGGAGGTTGATGTTTAAGATATATGATATGTGTGTTCATATATACATATATTGTCATGTTGCATTTTCTCTATATGCTACTTAACTATTTCCATGTCGTATCTTGGGTTATGTCATACAATCCAAGAATCTCGTCATGTTTATGTTTCATGTGTAAATGGAAAAAACATTCATGTTGGACATTTATAGCTATACCATGTAGAGAGAGAGAGAGAAGACAAAGTTATTATTCCATCAAACTCTAACCTCTCTTAAATAGAGATAAGGAGGATATTACAAAATAGGTATGAGATATGGTCATATCTAATAACATCTGATAATATCAACTAATACTAATAATATATAATGTTCTCCTTCAAGTTGGAGTTTATATATTATATATGCCCAGCTTGTTACATATGGGAACATAACTTAGTTGTGAGAAGATGTCAGCACTCATAATAGAGGTCACAACCAGAGATCAGTGGAGCATAAGTAGAATAAGAACAAAGTTAGACAGAGATCACAAGCAAATACTCATTTTTGTAAGCACTAGACATTCAGCTAGCCAGAAATAGAAAATCTCAACATAGGAACCAAGCCATATCAACTCATATCAAAGCAAGAAGAAACCTTCTGCGGGGCCCATAATGTTGGTAGATGTGAGATATCCTGGAGTTATATTTAGCAATTTATGTTAGTATCTACACTTTTGTGGTGTTGGGAGTGTAGATACATATGTAATAGCCATATGCTTTTAATGGAAGGAAGATGGCTGAAGCTTCAGTTTAAAGCTTCGTCCTGTTTTCTCAACAAAAAAGGAAAAAAGAAAAAGAAAAAAAGAAACCTTATGCAGGTTGGCTAGTAGAAAACCTATGCGAGTTAGCCATGAGAAACCCTAGGCGGGTTAGCCGTTAGAAGCCCTAGGCGGGTCAGTCAATAGAAACCCCAGGTGGGGGTCAACCATTAGAAACCTTAGATGAGTCAGCTAGAAGAAGTAACAAGGTAAAAAGAAAACCTCTCGATCGATCATTGCTAGCTCACTCTTGATTTCAGCGATATTTGAAGAGAAAGATGATAACATCAAGGTACCTTGCTGACAAGAAAATATCTCCCAAGAGTTTTGATCAGAGGAAAGCTAGATGTTGAAGCTAAGCATCGGATGACAACGGAAGGATTACTGTTCAAAAATGCAAGGTTTTAAATGTCAGGTGTCGGGTTCATGTCGGACGGCTGAAATCCATGTCGGATAGCGAAAATCGGGATATATCGGGGGTCATGGACTAAATATCGGATTGTCATATCGGGTGGTGTGTATATGTATAATATCATGTCCTAAATGTAATCTAAGCATTCCTAAATTCAATATAAGCATAATTTATAAATTCTAGAGGAGGCGTCGGTGATGGGTGGATTCCGAAGTCACAGGGAAGCTGTGCCGGCGACGGGACGTCGTAGGGAGGCAGTGTCGAGGCTCTTCTTCTTCTTCGTTTGCTCGGGATCCTTCAGATAAGTCACCGACCACCCTCTTCCCTTTATTCCGGCGATGGGATACCCTGCCGCCATCGGGTTCGGTTGGGGTTCGGATTTCGGGACGCAACGGGAGATGGACGACGGGGGCCGAGATGGAGGTGTGAAGCGCTCGTCGTTCACGAAAAGAGTGATCGGTTTCCAAATCCGCTGTAGCCCTAATTTTTCTCTTTTCTTTCTATCGGGTTCATAAGAAACCCTTAAACATGAGAACGTGTCAAACGAGTTTGGGTTTCTATCACTAAACCCAAATCTAATAACAAAAAACAGATCTAAAAAAAAAGGATCATATCGGCCGATTTTTCAAAGCTGAAAAATCAGCTGATATGCGCGATATGGCCCTGATATTTCCGATTCGGTCCTGAAAACCGACATACGAATTGAAAACACCCATGTCGTGTCGTTCAAACCCTCAAACCGACATGTCGGCCGACATTTAAAACCTTGCAAAAATGTTATGCGAAAAACTTTTTAAAAGTTGCATCTAGGTCTGCACTGATCCACACACTGTTTGTTCTTAAGATTTTATGTCATATGTGCTAGTTGTATGAGACCTTTAGGAATTAGGTGTGATGTAACTTGTTTCTTTTGTAATATTGGACATTTTGGTCATTTCTCGAAAGAGGATGAAGTAAGGAGCTAGATTTGAAATACCATGGCTTCTTATAGGAGCCTAGTTTAGTATCTGAACATAATTGACTTGACATTATAACGTTTCTGGCTAGGTTAGCAAGCTAGCTTTTGGCATAGCGTCCGTTATTGAACACCAATTTTAGTATGCTCTAATAAATGACATTAATCATATGCACACAATATGTAACTATCTGGCTCTAGCCTTAAACTAAATTAATTAACAAATATATAAGAAATAATTGAACTTTTTAAGGGCTTATCTTTAAATATGGGATATTTGCCCCGTCATTCCGTTCATATATGACCGTTACGTAAAAGAGAAATGCCACTTGGACCATCAGTCTAGAGCATATTTTCCCCTGTACGCTGGATACATTAACCCAGTTTTGCTAGTTTCCTATTCTGGTCCTTTTTTGAGTCCCTGTAGCCCCCACATCCAATGGAACCCTAGAGAGCACCGTATATAAGGACATTTTGGGGGAAAAGAGGGGTGGAACTGATTGTCGGCCATTGGAGAAAAGAGAGGAATTGAGCTGATTCTTGATGGCCGACGAGGAAATGATGAGCAGGTTGTTTCGGATCTACCGAACTGTGATGGAGATGCTGAGAGATCGAGAATATGATGTGAAGGATGCTGAGTTAAAGATGAGCAAGATGGAATTCATTAACAAATTTGGAAGGGGTTTCGAAAGAGAGGCTCTCACCCTCACCAAAACCAAGGAGAATAATCCCAGTGATCAGGTTCATTCTGTTGATTTAGAATTATTTCCCTTACAATCATATGTTGTTCTTTCTAGATTTGATAACTTCTTTCAGGGGGAAAATGAGAACTCGCAACGATCTATACTATATAATGATTGTAATATTTATGAGATCCCATGTTAAATTCTAGATCTTTATCTATCCAATTATCAGCATCAGCATCAGCATCAGCATCATCAAATTGTATCTGTCATGTCAGATTGATGTTATTTCTTCTAGATTCTTAAGGAATCGAAATTTTCCTTGATTAACCCACCATAAATGTTGTTGACAACTGGATTGCAAATACACACACACACTAATGATCCGCAGAAAACTGGGAAGACACTAGCGATTTTATTATGGATTATCCATAATTTCTTTGGTTTCGTTGTGGAGAATAAATCTCCAAATATATTTGTAAAAAATGCTTCTAAAAAATGCCCCTAAAATTAATGCTTGTTCCTACATATAAATGATATAAATGCATCTGGATAAATATTTAATGCATGCATCTTTACCAAGTGCTAGGTGGAATCTTCTCAGGTTCCAGAATACTATTATGGGCCATATCACCTTCGTTTAGATTTACAAACTTACTTAGAGCAACAAGACTATATCTGCAACCATCTTTGTTCACTGCTAAAACCTTTTGTGATCATAGCAGTTCCTTTAAGACCTGCAGTTAGTTTACCTACACCATTGCAACTTAAATTGTGACAATCAAGAAGCTATCGACATTTCTAATCCTATTAATCTTCCATGTGAGAACAGTTCTATGGAATTAATTAACAATTTATGAGGGTAGTATCGCCCATGAGAGAGAGGGGATCCATTGGCTAACATTCTCTCTAAATTCATATTTGTAGTTACACAGAAACAAGTGTTTGATTAGTTATTTGATCTTTGATAATGATCTCCTAGTTTTCGTTGTTGTTATATCTCATAGTTGTCTTTTCGTCTGCGTGTGGGATTTTGTTTGCACAGAGTGCGTGTATACACAGCCCTTACTACAGTTATGATATGCTTGTGCACCTTTATATCTGCATGTGGAAGTGCGTGTATTTTTCTTTTGTGAACTTTATTTGTTTTGTGAGAGTAGACCAGTATACCATTCTGTAGATTAGCGCTCCACGGTTGAGGAATGTGGACCTTTCAGATATCACTTATCACAACAATGACCTTAGCTAATTTGTATGTCCTGTACTTGTACTAGTAATTTGCAGATATATGCTCATTCTGTTTTCTAAGTCTTCAATCATTATAAACAGTATATGTGCTAAATGAAGAGTATGCCTTCAGTCTAGATGGCTCAAACTCTAATCAGTTCTTTTTACCCCTTTTTTTGCAAGGGCATGAACTTTTTACTCTTACAAGTATCTTTATTGAAAAGAACTGACCCAAGTTCTTATTGACATTTTAAATTCAATTTATATGTGGTTCCTATTTTGGCTACACCTTGTTAACATATATATTCATGTACATCTATTGTTTTTCTCTCACATACTTTCTATTTGGAAACAGATCTACGTTTTCTTTCCTAATGATGACAAGGTTGGCATGAAACACATAAAGAAATATGTTGAGCTGATGAAGTCGGACAATGTTCCCAGAGCCATTCTAGTTGTTCAGCAGAATTTGACTCCATTTGCAAAAGCACACCTTCAAGAGCTCTCTCCAAAGTTCCATTTGGAAGTTTTCCTGGTGCGTTCATTATGTATTTTACCTAATACTTCCGTATATTAATGTTGGGAGCTGACATTGCTGAAATAAGAAAAATAGGCTTCCATCTAATTTGTTGACTCAAATATCATATATTTGTATTCTGATGTGAAGAAGCTAAATGCAGGAGGCGGAACTGTTGGTTAATATTAAGGAACATGTGCTCGTTCCTGAGCACCAAGTGCTGACAGCCGAGGAAAAGAAAACTCTGCTAGAGCGTTACACTCTAAAGGAAACCCAGGTATTCTTAATGATACATTTTCTGAGCATTAAGGCTGATGACTTATCTTTATATATAATAAACATGCCTTATCTTGAAATATCTAAATTTACCTGGAAACATAGTTAATGTAATTTTATGATATATATATATAGAGAGAGAGAGAGAGAAATATGGGTATGCTTGGTACCAAGCACAAATTTTGTGCTTGGTAGTGATTTGTCACATCCCTATCCACTCACTACCTATGTGAATTTGTTCCCACATTTGAATGAGTGGAGGGGGATTTGACACATCACTACCAAGCACAACTTTTTGTGCTTGGTACCAAGCATAGCCCGAAAAAAAAAAGAATTATTTCTTATATATATATATATATATAATATATATATATATATTATAATATATATATATGAGAGAGAGAGAGAGAGAGAGAGAGAGAGAGAGCAAAACTTGTGTCAACTTAAGTGATAGTAAAAAGTTGTCCACCAAACTTTTTAGCCACTCATATGTGTCTAGGGATCCTTGCATGATATGAATTTTTTTTATACTAATAAATGAGTGGCTAGGAATTTGGTGACATCAATTAAAGTTCATAGGAGTCTTACTCTCTCTCTCTCTCTCTGCTCCTCTCGTCTATATATATACTATATATATATATATAGAGGAGAGAGAGAGAGAATCATGGGTATGTTTGGTAGTGAGGTGGCACAATCCCCTCCCTCATTCAAATGGGGACCACCATTCACATGGGTTGAGGAGTGCATGGGGATAATACAACCATTTGAAGAGTGGAGGGGATTATTGCCACCTCACTACCAAGCAACCCATTTTCTCTCAATATATATTATATTAATATATATTATATATTTATATTATATATATATATATATTATAATATATATATACCACACAACACACACACACACACCACACACACACCATCAAAATACATGTAATTTGAAAGTTTAAATGAAATGCCTTGCACAGATGTTACATTTCAAGAGAGTATTCAACAAGTGTAAGAAGTGTCCTAAAGTATTAAAAAGTTTGCTTTTCGAAGTTAAAAATATACTATTACATTGAAAAATCTAGAAAGTTCACACCCTCAATTGAGGGCAAAATAGAGAATTGTCCGGGAACTATGCAAGGAGGATCATTACCATGCATATTTGATGTGTGTTTGGAAAAGGCTTATATATAGGACAAACTAGTATGTTACTGGACGATAAGCTGAACAACTGCATGCTATTTTTATTAACATTAAAGTGCTTCTTGCTCTACATAATCCAGTAAGTCCTTATAATCCTCCTTTTTTTTTATGTCATGGCCCCATTCTACCTTTTATTTATGAATCCTTCATGAGACAGGATGACCTGTCCATCCTGTTGTTTGTTTATGTTGTGATTGTGCTTTATTTAAAGTAACTAGTCATTATGAAGGCTTTCACTGAAAATGATACTTGGTTGTTGTATTTCATAAATCTTTCATTGTTCTTAAGAAAGTTACCATTTTTAAGTGAACCAACCAATCAGCCCCATGAATGCAAGGTTTCTTTGGTCCATAGTTCCAAAGAAGCCTTGAATAGTTTGATATATTTTACAATTGAAGCCTATATTACTATAAACATATTAGTTAATGTTTTTTCTATGACGTGTGACTGATGTTGTTTGCTTGATCTCATTAGTATTATAAGTTCACTCACATGATTGAGCCATATTGGTTTAATATGTGGAAATATCAGATATTTCTGTCTTGCTAGAAGCATCACATGTTGACGCTTAACTCAATTACTGGCTTAGCTAGTGTTATGCTTTGTAGAACTGAAAACTCTCGTTAAATTCAGTAGTGTTCTACTATTTGCTGTATTTGTGCGGAGCTAAATCATCATTCATCAGTTTGTGTCAGAATTCAGATAGCCGAGGGTTTTTTCTTTGATCAGGACCAGGAAGACTATAAACACCATTGCAGAGTTGATTTGTTCTCGAATTAGTTGCGCACAGACCCCCTATCACTGTTTTGGATCTACGACCCTGTAGTTTCATTGTTGCAGATAAGGCACTAAGGTTAACCTTTTTTTGTTCCCCTCTTCTACCCTTGTTGAAAGTCAGGCTGATAATATTCACAGGTGAAACTGGTGAGTACATCTGATGAGACTAAAAGAGTAGAAAATTTTTTCAAATCAGGGGTCTGTCTGCAACAATGAAACTTCAGAGGTATTAGTTCAAAACAGAGATACTGTCCATGTGTAATTAAATCCTTTTTCTATAAAAGATCTGTGACTTATCAGTATGCTAAGACAATTTATTTTCTGTTTTTGTGGTTTTCTCAGCTCCCGCGAATTCAAATCACAGATCCAGTTGCAAGGTACTATGGGCTCAAGCGTGGACAGGTGGTGAAGATCATCAGGCCTAGTGAGACTGCTGGAAGATATGTTACCTATCGCTATGTCGTTTAAGTTCGCAACAAAAATGCTGCTGCTCAGAGATTTTCTCATAATGTTATCTGTTCAATAGCTTCTCTAGTCAGAGAATCCGAGCAGTAGCCTTCACCCTTGTTTGCTGTCTGCTCATATTAACATGAAGTGCTGTTACCAAAACATTGCAGTGCTATAAGTTAAAAACAATGGGGCAGTGTGTAATAAAGCAGGGTGTTATGAGACCGTGGTTCTAATGTAAGCGTGTTTGGTGTGGTTAATTTGGTTTGCATTAGATTTTGGAAGATGGTTTTCAGCTGATTTTGCTTCTTTCGAGCCTGCAGGATTTAGCTCTGAAGGCCTTGCATATTAGAAAGATATTTTGCTTCTTTTGAATGTGCAGGATTTAGCTCCGAAGGCCTTATATTAGAAAAGATGATTTGGTTTATAGGTTATCTTTTCTATGGGTATCATACAGGTATAAGTACAGGTATAAATTCTTCTTCGATGTGCTCCAAACTTGGGTGCTGTTCTTCCCTCTGAGCATACATGGCTGTGTCAGTTTGGGTCTCGTTGTGACGATATCTTTTCTTTATGACCAATGTTTATTTTGCTTGGGTTATTTACACTTGAATACCCACAATGTTTACCCCCATTTTAGTTTTGATTTGATACCCCATTTACCCAAAAGTTCCCTCAGAGTTTAACAAAATCTAACTAGTTGATACAGTCGGAAGGAGATTACAAAGAGCTGTTTTGGTTGAAAATCTTATTTTTAGTTTGCGAAAAGTTGGGTCCAAGTTGAAATAATTTTTTTCTAGTTTAAATTCTAAACCTTAAAACTAAAACTTTTGCGAACCAACACTTACACGAATCAAATTCAACCTAGTTAAGAAAAAACTACTGCGCACCCTTAGTGGGACACCGAAGTTGAAAATGGGTAAACTTTGGGGTACCTTTAGTAAATAACCCTGTTTGTTTTATTGATTTCAGCTCTTCCTGTCACTACAAAAAAGAAGACAAACGAGTCGGCTGTTAAAGAACTCAAAATAGTGATTGCAAAATATATGTCATCTGGACAGTACAAGCAAATGTGCAAGTATAACTACACTGTAGTATGATTACAGCTAACAATTTTACAGACAACATACACAAACTGCTAGCTTGCGGTGAACATGCACAAAAGTATACTCAGAAACTATCAAGGAACATGAAACAGGGCGAATCTCCGTCTCCTCTTTATAGTATTCTCTTCATTCAAGGTGTTCCTTTTGCTTGCACAAACGTGATTCTGGTTCTATCAGATAAATTGGTAGCTCAAAGCCTCCATCTTCCACTTTTCACAAATTAAAGCTAAATTTCGCAACCCCAAACTTTCAAATTTTGCCACCGTAACAGTGTTGTTTCCTTGCACAATCAAAATAATGACTACTGATGGCGATGTCATTAACACCGTTAAGAGGTTCCGTTAGAAACTTTTGAAAGTTAAGGCAGATTTTGCACGACACCCCAAAGTTCAGCGTGGTTTGGTGGAAGAGAAGTTCAAAGTAAAGGGCTTTTTTGTCAATTTTACCATTGACTTAATAACTTCACATCAATCTAAACTCCAACATGCGAAAAATAAGAGATCCAATATATGCTTCAAGCTCTACTGTGTTGCTATCGCATTGTATGTGAGAACACTTGTTTGTGCGGGTTCTTTCTTTAATTGATCTGCATATATGGTAACATTCACAATATCAGAAGCATGCATTAACTTAAAAAAAGTGTTGACCAAAACCATTAAGCCAATGAATTATGAGTACTTAGTTTGCTTAATGGCATGCGAAGAACTCACCTCGAAGGAGTCAATATATACATCAATGTATCATGTTCGCCAACAAAGTCATATTTCTTGGCTCATGTCATATTCTTGGCAAAGAGAGAACGTCGGCATCTTAATTCTATGCAAGGGAGCATACCGTTCCTTCTTTAATGGTAGTAGCTTGCCAGAAAACAAACTGTTTACAATCCAGCTGGCTGGCTGTATACAAGACAACAAAGTGTTTTGATTTAAATACGAAAGGCCAATTTACAATCATATATATTCATAATAGGTTTTAGCCAAAAAAAATGCATAGCTTTGAAATCATATGATATATCTCATGATTACAATATTTCAGAACTTCCTGAATTCTATGTAGCAAAATGTGCACTAAGAACAAAAAGTGAGACCAATAGCGGACAGCTTATGTGGATTGCAAGCGCAAATTATCAGTTTATCATAATATGCAGTATCCACTCTGGTCAAAAATGAGGCCACTTTAGCTGACAGTGCAAGAACACTACTGATAATGGTTAACAGATCAATGAATTTTCAAGATATAAACTCATAGTTTCACATGTTCCAAAAAGATTACGGTGAGTAGAAATACTGACCACAGTTTGTAGACTGTTTTCTAATGCACAGTGCTTCAGGTGACGTGAGACATTGTCTTCATTCTCAACAAGAACAAACCCAACTGTATTTGTTCCATTCTTCAAGCTCTGGACCAGCCGCTGCAAAGATTTGAATACCTTCCCACCTCCATGCTGCATTTTGAGAAGTACTCTCTTAAAACAAAAATAAATACCAAAAAAGGAGAAATTTCGGGAGAAAATGTATGAAGCAGAATAGCTTCGGGGAATGGGAACAGGCTGCATGCCTGTTTATAAAGAATAGGAAGTGGATAAGTCACAATATGGATGGCAGTGAAATAGTGAGTGTCAAAAGGACACTTAAAGCAATTTGAGATTAGGCCAAGGGTAAGTTTCAGGCCTCATCTTTTACCAGTGTCAAACATTACAAAAACACAACCTACGGAAGAAAAGGTTCCCTAATGTATGGAACTACTGATAATATAGACGTAATTGATGCGATAAGAAAGATAATATATGGTGTTATATGATGAAAGGAGTTTTAAGTTGCCAATTACTACCGAGAAAACACTCAAGGACGAGGGCATGAAAACTTGTACATAAGAAGAAGATATCCATTTACTGGAAACTAAAACTAAGAACCACTAAAAGAGTTTACTACAAGAGGATTGGATTTGATAATTGATATATCATCTGGAAACATGTATCATGTAGAAAAGAGGATCTGAGCAGACGAGCACTACAATGTTTAAAATTATAAGTGGATATGGTAAAGTAATGCAGGTTAACACAACAAATGAATACACCAAGTCACACCATTTGACGACAAAGTAATGGAGAATCCAAGTAAGATGGCCTTAAATGCAATGAAAAAATTAGAGAAGCCCTGGTAAAGGAGATAGAACATATATGGAGAAGTCAGAAACAGAAGGAAACTTAACCTAAGATGATGGCAACCCTAAGTAAAAAATTGAAGAGTCGAAAGAGACCTTATTGGCAGAGGCTTCATTGACGAACCCAAACTGCTAAAAGAAAGCAGTTAACGGTTGTGCTTATTAAGGACATCGATCACACTTTTGCAATTTCTCATACCTTTTTGTGGTGAACTCATGAAGTACTAATTGTAAGCATTTTTCAGAAAATCTTAACACCAAATTAATTTCATGGTTTGTTTATTTGATAATGAATACAGAATACTTGTTCCCCTCTCCCTATGACACTAATTCTGGTCAAACTTAAAGAACGAGAATGAGCTACACGGAATAGAGACGTCCATATAAGGAAAGTGTCCCCAAAGGTATAAGATGAAAGTTCACACTTTATGTGCATTGCAAAGAGGAAAGAAAGGACAAATGAAAGCCAAAAAGGATAATACAGTTGGAATAGGAATTACCTTTATAATTTTGGAAAACTTGGTACAAAAGCTAACTTTGCCATTAAGCATGAATCCCACTCTTTCAAAGATGAATACATGGCTATTTAAACAAAACGGCTCTCCAATCCTCAATTGGTGAGATTCACATCCCTTGAACGATCGAGTCATAAACCTGGCAAACGCAGACCAAAACAGTTAACCTTCCTTATCACCTAAAGATTAAAAGCATGAGACAATCAAGCACTACTTAAATTAATCACATGGACAAATATGCATAAAAAACTAAAATATTTATGATGTAAAACCAGAATGATTGAACCTCACAGATGATACCAATTTATTATGGATATGTATATTGTATAAGCAGTTAGAATAAGAAAACACCTATAAGCAACTGTGTTTCATAGACATGATATGTTATAGACCTGATGAATACGTAAGTCTGTTATGTGGCCATGATGTACATTGTTCAGTTCAGTGAAATAAGTGGCTGAAGGTTGCACAACTTACTTTCCAGGTGGCAATAAAGAACCAGCATGAATTGAGTCCACAAGCCAGTGAGCATTTAGCATCCAAGTGTTAGTTGCACAACCATATAGGAACTTGCTTGTTTGCACCTACATGAACAAAAGAAGAAGAATTAAGTTTGTGAGTGTAAGGAAAAGAAATCAGTTTGTGGCAACTAGCATAGAATCTACATGCAACTTTAATCTTGCACATCTAGCAACTGATGTCAAATCAGATTAAAGAACAAAATGTCATATGAAAGATCAAAACCATCTTTAAGCTTAATCTCTACTGAAGATTGATCATAGCATAGAGACCAATTCGATGGAAACACTAGACTATTTTGTATCCAGCACAGATTAAAGTTTATCTGTGTAGGTTTAGATTTAAAATAGTGTGTAGAATGGATGCAAAAAAAAAATGCTAGGTGATAGAGTGACTTGAGAAGCTGTCCAATGGTTTGTAATAATTCCAACTCAAAAATAAAAGTCAGTCTCTTAGGTCCTGGGCCTAGCCAATTTTATAAACCCATATGATCCCAACACGAATTAAGATCACACAGGAACATATCAATAATATTGCTAACCATGTGAGATGCAACCATCTCTCTTTGCATAAACAAGTTAACTGTCTGTCCCATGCTCTTGAACAATGTCTGTCCCATGCTCTTGAACAATGTCGATCCAAATGCAGAAACCACCTTTTTAGACAACTAATACAGTAATACTACCCTCAAAATTAAACGAAAATGACAAAATGTTAATAGAAGATGTGTATTTACTAATTTATCAATGTGATGCGTACACAAACTAACGTCCCTCAGACAACATGCAATTCCTATTTGCTTCAGGAAACAGTTATAAACTTGTAGGGATAACAGAAAGTTAACCTTCGAAACAGTTATAGACTTGTAGGGATAACGAAAGTTAACCTTCAGATTTCATCCCATCAATTCTCTGCGGGCTCCAGCTTGTGAACCAGTTTACATAATCCATCAATATTTATTAAGTTACACTGGCACAAAAAAGCATATGTTGAACAAACAAAAGCCCGGAATATACTTTTACAAAATCACGTTGCCTCAGCTTTTGGAGGAAAGTAGACTAACAAGTCAGTCAATGTCAATGTCTGATAACCATTATATTCATTAAGCAGTACCACACTTGCTCTGAAATTCTAAGTCATTCATCTATTTTTCCTTGAAGCGTTCGTAACATAAAATCCAGAAAAGCTATTTTAATGGCTTCAGTAATGAACTTGAGTGTTAAAATGCTAAAACTACTATCTATAAACCCCTTGATATATGTCATTTTAGAATGATTAAAACAAACCTTCTTTGGTGACAGAACAATGGGCAACTTGAACTGTGCTAACTCTGCTCGCCGCTTATTCCTTACATCTGAAGTTTCGGGTGGTATATTCATAAGAATGTACCCTCCATATTGTCTGATTAATGCTTCAAGTTCCTTTTCCTTCTGACGTGAAAACCCAGTCAATAAAAATTCTAAACCTTGAAAGACCATTCCTTTCTCACCCACAATATGCTGAAATGTCAAATGGTTATAATTTTCTTTTCTGGATATACACTTGTTTGACAGGATGGATTCTTTCACCCTTTTACTGGATCTGTGACGTGCGCCTGCAGAATTTTAGATAACAAGGATTGAGACAAACAACTCAGATATCACACAAAACAAAGAATCCTTAAAAACAAGGGGAAAAAATGATGTCATATGAAATTATGAATTAAAAACAATTACCATGAGTTTGGTGTTCAGGTTGCAACCTGTTACTGCTCTTAACTCTATCAATACTAGTTCTGACTTCTGAAAACTTAACTTTCTTGCTTTTTAGGCTTTGTTTATTAGGAGAGTGGTTGCGTAAACTTGACTTTCTAGAATTTTGTTCTTTGCATTTCCTAATCTTTAAAGATGATTTCTCTGAAATCTCTTCTTCAACATCACAATTTAAGATTTCTTTACACGCCCTAAGGCGACGCTTCTTATTATTCAGTATAATAGGTGCCCCTATATCTTCATGGTCGTGAATGAAATCATCATCATTAACCTCACCAACATCAGGAGATCCACTAGCTTCATATTGATCCTTCCTTCTATTAACCGGGTTATCTTTTGATCCATTCACATCCATACATTCCATGCTGTTCAAAGAAATTTCAGCATCTGGTTCATTAGATGTGAAGCAAGTATTGTTTCTTTCATCAGAAGAAAACTGCAGAAATTGTTTGACTTTGCTCTGTGACGGTGATTTATAGTTGTTTCCATCAGGCATTACTGTGCTGTACTTTCTGAGTGAATTCAACTGCTTCCGGCTGGGTGCAACAGGAACGTCAACACTATTTTTAGAAAGAATCAGTGGTCTTTCAGTTAATGCCTTCAAAGGGGTCTCCTGCACATCTGATAATGTAATTTTTTCATTCAGCTCTTGTGTACTAACAACTCCTTTAGGTTCAGCATCACCAGAAATAGGCACATTTTCTGAAGGAATACTACACGGTACTAGAGAACAAAAAGGATCAAAACTAGAAGATCTAACAAGATCTTGTGAGAGAATATGTCCTTCAGGAATGCTTCTCTCACTCTCCCTGTGAAGACATCTATATGAATGTTGAGATGGTATGCTTGAAGAAGCAACCAACTCAGGTTCTGCTTCTGCTATTTGCTTGCTGGGTCTTTCATTCATCTCGTCCATTGATTCTGAAATAAAGCTAGTCTCCTTGTTAAATACTCCCATGTTTTTCCTCATAGTTGCATTCCCCAGTTGAGAGGCTTTCCCATCCTTCAAGAAAAAGAAAAATGGATTAAATAAATGTACATGATTAAAGAAATGCACTTGATACACATTTTGCTAGCCTATTTCTCACCTTATGATTTTCTCGGTCTTCTAAGGGGCCTGTTTGCTTTCGGGCATCCGTTTTTTGTTGCAAATTCCACACATCAACTATTGGCTGGCTCTTTAAACAAGACTTTATGCAATCAAGAGGTATAAATGCAGACCTCTTGATCTGTTGTAGAGGAAGAGGATATAATGCCAAGTACTTGGATTTTGAACCCATGGAAACTCCATCGTCCTTCATCTTGTTACCTTGTGTTTCTTCCTCGAATACAAAATGACTTTCTGAAATCTGTTCCTCCATGTCATGAGATGAATTGGGTTGGAGAGGCTTTTCACTGTAATGTGAATCATCAGGAGTTTCCACAATTTGAGTAAGTGATATACCAACATCATCAAATGCTTCTGCCATAATGTTGTCATCCAAATCAGAAAGCAGATCATCATCGATATGCTTGTTGCCCAAAAAGGAAGAAACACCCTCCAAGGTGTCCAAGCAGAATTTCTCCCGCGCTTGCTTTAAGCGAAGGGAGATTTCCAATATTGCCGCAGCTGGAAAATTTTCAGACTTAAAGCTACTTGCAACCATATCAGAAATGACCACTGCTTCAGAAGCAGCAATAGAAAGTTCAACTGCATCATTTATGTCTGCATCGCAGATGTTCCCAGCATCAGGCTTTTCATGAAGTCTTGTCTGATTTTGTTGGTCAGCTTTGATTAGCTGGCGTGATATTTGTTTTGGGGGAATAGTTGATTTGTTTCTCATGGATGAATCCGATGGAGAGGCTTCAGCTTCCACTTTATGCTGGCAGATTGAGTCATCCTTAATATCTGGGATTTTGTGGATATTTTTCACCTGCAAATCTTGATTTGTTTTATGACTTCCTGTGTGAGATGTTCCATTAAGCTGACTTGCGGAAAGCTGAGAATCGCCAAGGGAGGATAGATGGAGATGAAACTGTGGTTCCTGTTAAAAGAAGAATAAAATGCATAAAAAGCACAGTCACAAAAGACAGTGTAAATGCAGTGTAATGGATTGAGAACAGAGTATGCATACGCATTAAACATAAACCCGTGACATTGGAAAATAAACTGAAAATAAAAAAAATTTAAAGAGCTCTTTACCTAAAAATTTTAGATGCTTCTAGTAAAAGGAATCAAAGGGAAAAGACAAATTGATCTTGTCCAACGGTTGGAGCTTCCAATTTTTCTAGTTCAGTGTGTTAAAAGTCATGGATTTAACTATAATTACATTCCAAAAATCAAATAGATGTCATTAGTATGATCCCAAAATACAAAGAAACTTAGAGCAAGGACATTTATCAATGTTGCTGCATTTGCAAACAGTGCAAGAGGAACCTTAGGAAACAACTGCATAGGTGTTCAAACTCGAAAAGAAGTTATCATAATGAGCCAAGAGAGAGCAGCTCAATATAATGATACTATCAAATACACAGAAATTTATTAAGATTGCCTAGAGTTGCATGATAGTTATATTAAGTACAAGGTAGCAACAAATAGTTCATCCTACAGAAATTAAGCAATTCTTATAGTATTGCTACTATTCTCAATAAAGCTTACCAAGTTAATTATTCTAAGCATGTGACCATGTCACTTACTCACCTTCAAATATCTCATTTTCGTTCAGATATACATGTTAAATTTAGTAATAGACAAGTTGGAGATATAAGAGATTCTGAGAACAACTATCATCCAACATTGACTCAACATGTCCTTAGTATGGCAAAGTATATGGTCCTACATGGATTCAATCTATTGGTGTAGTTCCCTAAGGTGACAGATGGAAACAACAATAACATGAAATTTCAACATGTCGCTTAGCATGGCAAAGTACATGGTCCAAAAGCAAAGATTATGAGCATGCTAGAAGTGTGTTTGAAAGAGAGGCTATGAATATAATCCCCATTAAAAAAGACATACATTCCAAAATTTCTGTCTATAATAATTGAAAATCAGTAAGATCTGCTGCTAAAACAATACATGTGTTACAATGACCTCAAGTAATAAATAAATCTAGAATTTTGACTATTCGTATGCATGAAGCAATAACATATTCAGAGTAATTCCAGTTAAAAAGTAATAGAAACATACTTCTGAAGAAGACAGAACAGTTCCAGCTGAGGAATTCCCATCTCCGGACAAATACAGATGGAAACCACTATATTTACCATCATCTCTTGTAAAAAAGTGCTTTGCTTGTCCATCTGTTGTATGTTTTGGTAATGATACCAATTTCTGACGGTAGCAAAACGAAAAGTTGCTTTGCTTGTCCATCTGTTGTATGTTTTGGTAATGATACCAATTTCTGACGGTAGCAAAACGAAAAGTGTCAATGAAGTACAAATGTAATGATACCAATTTCTGACGGTAGCAAAACGAAAAGTGTCAATGAAGTACAAATGGAGGACGACGAACATGCTAGACTCTGAAAGGCAACAGAAACAATAGTGGGGTAATGCATACCTTGCTAGAGATCTGAGAAATGGTATGCTCATCTTTAGCACCATCTCCCAAAGCCGGTAATTGATATGGCTGAAGCCATGCTGGAAGCCAAGCTACGTCCTGGCACCAAAGTTTCAATAACAAATTATAAACTTGTCACTAGAATTGATAGAACAAGGGAACAAAACTATGCTCACCTATTATCTAAACAAAGGGAACTTCAACATAGCTATTTGGGATTTTGGATAAAACCACATTTTCATCCAAAAAATTTATAAAAAGTATGCAAAGAATCTCATTAACCAGTACCGATAAAATACTCCCATTTCATTTAAGATACATCAACAAAAATAACAATTAACTTCAAGCCTACGGAACTAACAATAGTGGTTCATGACAATATTTAAAAACCGATTATATGTGAACGATAACAGGGAAAAAAAACTTTCTTTGTGATCAATCAGCATGACACTTTACTGATGATCGATCAGAGTACTAGAATACAATAAACAGAAAACAAAACAACCAATTGCGATAAGCAAATTTACCCTTCAATCTACATGAAGTAATTCACTGAAAGCCTCAACCAGTAGGCTCTATGAATGCAAATATATAAAAACACCAAATTGATGATTAAAAAAAAGTAGAACAATGCATTTAGTAATCCATCAAAATGTAAACTCCTAAAAATGGGGTTTCGCACAAATTTCACACAAAGAACGCAAACTTATCAAATTTACCATCAAAGACTCCAACTTTATCATCTAACTGTACATATTAACGCGAAAGTTTACAGAAAACAGAATACCCATTTGGATATAGGACCAAAATCAATGAAAAATGGAAGTATCCGGCCGATGGCAGTTTGGTAATTTGGAGTAATGGAGAAACCTGACCTCTGAGAACTGAGGAGAGTGATAGCCGCAGCTCTCCATGGTCGACGACGACGGAGGGGAAGAACGCGTCGAAATTTTTTTTAGGCCGGAAATAGGGAAGAAAAAGCGCCAGGGGCTTTTTACCGCCTATCCGATGAGGGCAAATTTGCAGAAAAGGACCGGTTGATAATTTGTTTGCGGCTTTTCGGAAACTGGACTGGGATGGGGCTAAAGCCCAGTACACGGATGGGCCAGCGCATTGTTGTGGGCCTTGTGGCTAGCTACCTATTTTTTTAGAGGAAAAAAAAGATATCATACACAAGACATTGCGTTGGAAAATCATACAGGAAAATAGCAGGTGACACCTTTTTCCCTACTAATTTTAGATAGTACAAAAAGTACATAAAATCAGTGTAAACACTAAAAATTAGGACAAACAGCAAAAATTGGCTACTACTTGTTTTTTGAAACCTTGTAAGTTACTTCTTATTTTCAAAACTTGCTATAAAAAGGTTAAAAAAATGTGTGCGGTAAAAACCTTAACTTATAAGGATATAAGTATTTATGTTTTTGGTAAATTAATAACTTATAAGGTTATGACAATTGTCAAATAACTAAAAAGGGCATCTTGTTGAATCTCATATTATAGCTAACTAATTAATTATACATTTGGTAGATAACTGCTATTAGTAAATTATTAATTAACTAAGTAAATAACAAAAATAAATTATTTCACACTAGTTATGGTTATTAATTATTAATATTTGAAGTTATTAGTAAAACTATTAGTTAGTTAATTAAAAATTAACTATTCATAATAAGAAATATATACTATTAAAATATTTTATATGGTACATTAATTTTGGTTATTAATTACCAATATTTATATTAATTACTTAATGGAATTTTAATTAAATAATAATTATAAATAATTTTATTTATAAACTAAGTAAAGTAATTAACAATAATAATTATAATTATTTATTAAAATAAAATTATAAATAATTAATTGAATAGTGGTTATTAATAAATTTAATTAATAATTAACTAATAAATTCATAATAAAATTATTTATTTTTAATAAAAATATAAGCAATTAATAGAATAGTGCTCAATGGTAAATTAATTTATTAACTAACTAATTTTAATAACAATATTTAGATATAATAATAAAATATTAATTATAATATATTTTATATATCAGATTGTTTATTGTTACTAGGACAAATTTTTGAAAACAACCTTATTTCATAATTAATGAGCAAAATCGACCATTTTCATCTCAGTTGAGATGAAAAGGGTTGATTTTGCTACAGATAAGTTTTCGAACTACACAGGACTACTAGTCCCGTGTAGTGTAGTTAAGACATGATTAGCATGCCAAACCAAATGAACGGGACTACTAGTCTCATCCATTTGGTAATCACCCGTGACCCACTCCCTTTAAACAGATCGTGATGTCCCTTCCCCTCACCAGCGAACACATCACCATCTCCACTCTTCATGTACCCATACAAGACCGCATTATAGCAAATGATGTCAGGAGTCAACCTTTTCGATTCGACCATTTCATTGAGCAGGACAGTTTTCGTGTCCCCTTTAAAGCACAAGGCCTTAAGATAAAGGATGTAAGCTACGATGTTGGGCTCAATTCCGGTGGACTTGGGCAGGGTTTCGAACTTCTCGATAGCAAGGTCGTATTTCTTGTCGTTGAGGAGGGAGGTGAGGAGGGCGCAAAAGGAGAGCTGGGTGGGGTTGGGGATCTGGTGGAAAAGGCGGACATCGTCGTCGAGGAGGCCAGAGGAGGCGTAGTGGAAGAGGATCCGGGTGAAGAAGCCCTCGTATTTGGGGGACTTGGGGTCAAAGATCTGGGACCGGAGGACGCGCCGGATGAGATCGGGGAGGCGGAGCGGACGAGGCCCGCGGAGGGCCGAGGGGTGTGAGGGCGTGGTTCAGAGCTGACGAAAGATGGGGGAGGTGAGAAGGAGGACTAAAGGTGGTCGGACGATGCGGTCTGGGGCGTTGGGCACAGACTTGATGGCGGCAGTGAGGCGCGGAGAGGGGTTTAGGATTGAGAGCTAAAGGGCTTTGGGGTTGGGTTTTGGGTTGGGTGAGGGTGGGAGGGGTCGAAGGGCGGGGCGGAGGACGGAGGATGCCAGGCGGCGGGGGCCTTTCGCAGAGCAGCCGGCAGCGAGGGCCGGCGCATTGGAGAGCGAGAGATGAGGAATGGGGCAAGCACGATCTGGTTTAAGGATAGTTGGTGTGATTACTAAATGGACTAGACTAGTAGTTTCGTCCATTTGGTTTAGTCCATTTGGTTTGGCATGCTAATCTTAGATTAGCATGACTTAACTACACGGGACTAGTAGTGCCGTGTAGTTCGAAAACTTACTCGCAGCAAAATCGATCATTTTCATCTCAATTGAGATGAAAAGAGTCGATTTTACTGTTTTTTTGTGAAATGGACAATTTTGTTCATTAATTATGAAATAGTGTTGTTTACAAAAATTTGTCCTTGTTATTAATTACTAATATTGACATAATTAATTAATTTTTATTAATTAAATAATAATTTAAAATTATTATTTAATTAAATAAATTATTATTTCATAAATTAATTAAATAACTAATTAAATAAGTAATTAATTAATCATGACACTAATTAATTAATTATTTTCTTACTAATTAAGTATTACTTGATAAAATTACTAATTAATTAATTAATTTTATTATTTAATAAAATTAATTAATTTATTTAAGGTGATATTATTTAATTAATATCTTACTTCTAGATCTACTGTAGATTGATAAAGGGGGTTTGACGGTATTTTGGTCTTTTGGTCTAAGTAAGGAAAATTCTTTATAAGTAAGCAAAAAATAAGTTGGGGAATCTCAATCTATTTTCCCTACTTGTAAATAAGAAACAAGTAAAAATATTAAGCCTCAACAAACAGAGGATTAGTATCTTATAAGTAAAAAATATACTTATACGTAAAATAAGTTACTTGTAAGTAAGTTGAAAAACATGCTCATAGTCACTAGCTTTAAAATTGATGCCGTGAGTAGAACATGTAACATGACCTACATATGAGTTCCATACTATTTGATATCTGAATCTGCTTTAATATCTTACAATTGTATGAAAATACTATTGAACTAATAATAAAAATTTCTATCAACAAATAAAGGGTATCAATTTCCTATCCGAAAAGCCATTTCTAATGTAGTCCGAAGATTTCTCAGAAAACACTTTTTTTTATTTTAACTTCACCCTCAAAAGACCGGCGGAATTTGGTTTCCATGAGAGCTCATGGTCAGGCCAACGCTTAAAAATAGTAATTCATAGTTGTAGCTTTTTAGGAGAGAGGAAGACATCGATCAAGCAAAATGGTGCATCGTTAACCACACCTCCTATTTTTTTAAAACAAAGAAATAAGTTTTTTCTTTGCTGACCTTTTTCTTTGACATTTGCTTGTCCCAATCCAGAAGAAAATAGGAGGGTCATGTTAGGTGGCCGACAGCCGGTGTAAAATATAGTCGGATCCACATATAAAATAAATTCTATTATATACTCGTTGAGGCGCCCCCTCCGCAACATGTTGCATCGATCTCACCCCGATGCAAATGATAAGTAAGCAATGGTGGTTTGCTAGGGCGTCCTCCGGAAGCGACGCATTACATCAATGTCATCTCGGTGTAATGACAAGTAAGTAAGGATGTTCTAAGAACATGCAATCCTCTAATATTATACCTAATAGTATTAGGCATAGACTAGAACAATCTAAGAGGAAAAATGGTAGGAGACTTTTACAAGAAAACAGAATTTGATTAGCTACTTGGAATATACATACACTTACCGGAAAGACAATGGAATTAGTGGATGTCGTGATTAGAAGAAAGATTAACATAATTTGTTTACAATAAACTAAATAGATAGGTAAAAAATCTAGAGAAATTGAAAAGACTAGATATAAATTTTGGTATACAGGAAAAGAGAAGAATATGAATGGAGTGGGAGTTCTTGTAGATAATAATATAATAAAAAAACGTGTTGTGGATGTAAGAAGAGTTGGAAATAGAATAATACCAATAAAAGTTGTCTTAGTGCAGAGGTTATTAATATTATTAGTACTTACGTACCACTGTTTGTGGGAAAATTTGCAGTAAAAGAAACAAAGGAAAATTAATTTGTATTCCTTTAATCTCAGTTACAATTGGATTTCCTGATTACAAAAGAGAAGAGAATGATCTGGATTCTCCCCTTTGTTTAAATCTGGGTTCTTCACGGTGGCGATGAGATGCCTCTCTCGAATGCTCACGTCGAGTTTGCTTCTCGTTGACGATCCGATGTCTTGTTTCACTGGAACGTGTTCTTCTCCTCACGATTTGACGTTGTGGAGAACTCTGAACGAGTTTAAAACTCTATGAAAGAGAGTTGATTTAACCGAAAGTCGGTTATAAGCCAAGGATGAAGAAGATCTTGTTGCCGATCTCCAAAGCTCCAACCGAAGGATGAAGGATCCTCTTTTCGCTGCCAAGAAGTTCCAACAGACCGCACCCGAAAGATCCAGCCCTGAACTGAATTGATTTTCAGTTATTTATAGGGGATTTAAGGGGTGTAACCACCTCCTTAATTCGCTCCTAAGTGGGGCTAATGCGATGTAACCGCCCCTTAAATCACTCCTGAGTGGAGTTGTGATCCCCTCAGATCGTGGGAAACGGTTTTGAAACCGTTCAGCTCGTGTTTGAACGAGTCAAACGCAGATCCTGCATTCTGGCATGAATTCTGTGTCCAAACGCAGTATCTGGAAGCTTGAACGCAGTGATTGGAAGCTGCGTTTGCAGCGGATGAAAGCTGCGTTTGGCAGCGGTATTGAGCTGCGTCGGGCAGCGATGTTGAGCTGCGTTGGGCAGCGATGTCAAGCTGCGTCGGGCAGCGAATAGAGCTGCGTCCAGTGGCGATTTAAGCTGCGTTTGTAACTTTTGGAGCTGCATTTGAGCTGCGTTCGTGGCTATGAACGCGGCGCATCTTGATGCTGGTACGCGGGGAGGACTTCCACGTCTTGGTTTGAAGAGACCATTGATTTGTAGTCTCTT